ACCGGGCCCCGGTTCGGGTCCTTGGCTCCTCAAAGGCCCGTTTGGGGGCCCCTGGCATGCACTAAACCCCGCTTCAGTGACCTTGGAACCGCCCCAGACCCACTTCAGTGCCTTTAGCACCACCCTTAGCCCCGCTTTGAGGTCCCTGGCGTCCTCCCAGCCCCATTTTGGGGCCCTTTGCACTCTCCAAGCCCTGCTTCGATGCCCTTTACATGTCCAGAGGCCCACCTTGAGACCTTGACATCCCCTAAACCCTGCTTTGGTGCCCGAAGTACCCCCCAGCCCCATTTCGGGGCCCTTTGCATCCCCTTCAACCCTGCTTAAACACCCTTTGCACCCTAAGCCCCACGTCGATGCCTTTGGCACCCCCAGAGGCCCACTTTGAGCCTCTTTGCATCCCCTAAAACCTGCTTCTGTGCCCTTCGTAGCCCCCCAGACCCACTTCACTGCACTTGGAACGACCCTGAGCCCCACTTTGATGTCCTTGGTACCACTCTAGACCTGCTGCGGTGCCTTTGGCACCACCCTTAGCCCTCTTTGATGCCCTTGGGACAACCAGAGCCCCACTTCAGGGCTCTTGGCATCCCTTAAACCCTGCTTCAATACCCTTGGGTACCCCCCCAGACCCACTTAAATGCTTTTGGTACCACCTCAAGCTCCACTTCGATGTCGCTGGCATCTCTCCAGCCCCATTTCAGGACTCTTCACACCCCCAAGCCCTGTCGGATGCCCTTCGCCTACCCAGAGCCCTACTTCAGGTCTCTTGCCATCCTCTAAACCTCACTTTGATGCCTTTGGTACCACCCTAAACCCTACTTCGATGCCCTTAGAACTCCCCAGCCCCTATTGAAGCCCATTCTGGGGCCCTTGGCATGCCCTAAACCCCGCTCCAGCTCCTTGGCACGCCGCTGCCCCGTGGGACGATGCTTTACGTAAGGCGGGAGCTGCATGCGGCTCCTCGGCGCGTCCCGTGGGCTCTGCTCCCTTCCCTCCTCCCAGCCGCTTTTTATAGCTCCAGCCTCTTCCCCGGCGTCTCACTTTGTACTTCTTTCCCTCCTCCAACTCATGTCTTTATGTAACTCGTCCTTCCCGGAGCCTCGGGAAGGGGCTTTGGGACCGGCTGCTTCCAGAGAGGCCGAGGACATCGCATCCAACACACTGCACACGCTGCCCTGACCCATTTCAAGTGTGGTTTTATGTTCACACCCTCAAAACAGGGCTTTTGAGGGTGCCAGAGCTGAGACCTATGTTCCCTCCCTGCCTTTGCTGGTGCCGCATTCCTGGTGCTTACCACCCCGCCATGTGCCAAGCCTTCTTCAGCAAGGGGAAAGTATGTCAGAACATAGTTATTAGCAATGCTGGGCTGGCAGAAATGCTGTTATTAGAAGGGTTTTTACCACAATCTGTACCCAAACTATGTATAACACAAGCTCCTGGGCTTTGGGACGTGACTTGGGCTCTCCTGGAGACTCAAATTCAGCCACTTCCTCATCTCCTTGGTGATTTCAACCACCTTTAAGACTGACCAGGACTGAAGGAAGCTCTAAATTAAGCCAGATCTCAAATAATCTGTATTTCAGAAGGACACGGAGGCCATGCAGAGGATTTTTCCCGTTCCTTTTCCCTCCTGGAGCTGATGTTTGGTGCTGTCTGTTGGCTCCAGGGGCAATCCTTAGCTTTGCATCCTACTATGGTGACCACATGGTGCTGCAGAAGGAGCCGGCGGGGGCCGTGGTGTGGGGCTACGGGGAGCCAGGGACCGTGGTGACCGTGGTTCTCTCTGGGCATGGTGGCCTTGTCCTTGTGAAGAAGATGGCACAAGTTAAAGGTCAGTGCTGGACCCGCACTGGGCAACTGGGGATGGTGGTTCTGGTGGCCGAGAAGCACATCCAAGCCCACATTGGAGCTGCTGCTGGGGCTCTGTCACCCTTGGGTGAGCCTTGCACAAGGCTGGGAGGGCTCAGCAGCATCTCGGATCTCAGTTGGTGGATTCCTTCCCTGCACAGTGAGTTGGGGGGCTGTTCCTCACCTTTTGAGGGGGTGAAATCACCGCCTAAATGGCTCCTCCACAAGCTGGAGAGCCTGGAGGTGTCTTGTGATAGAGCAGCGATCCGCTGCTACCGGAGATCTGCAGGATCCAGCCTGAATCAGGCCAGAAAATCCACACTAAGCTCCAGCAGAATATCTTTACGCCTCGATTCGGCGCCTCTAAAATTAGCTGGAGACATCTCAGTGTCACACACACCAAGCTGCTCCTATAGTCCCGGTTCCTCCCAGCAGCTTCTGCTCTGACACACATTTGTCTTGGAGATTTTCTGGTTAACCCCTCAGTTCCTGCAGGAGGAAGGACCCTCTGATGGGGGAGAGCTTCCAAACCCCAATTCCCCAGCCCAGCTCTGCAGTGGGGCAGCTTTCCCTTGTTGTCTGTCCATCCCCTTGGGTTGTTGGCCGCCCATCCAACCTCTTTGTGAAGGTCTTGATGTCTTCATAGGCATCGTGAAAGATAAGCACCATCCTCTTCTTCCAGAACCTTCTGGGACATGGACAACCATCCTGGACCCCATGGATCCGGGTGGTCCCTACACACTGACAGCAAGGCAGGGCTCGGAGAACGTGACGCTGAGGGACATCTACTTTGGGGATGTGTGGCTTTGCAGTGGGCAGAGCAACATGGCCATGACAGTCCTGCAGGTAAGACCCATGGCATGGCATGATCCCGCCAGCTCAGGCAGGGAGCAGGCAGGGAAGCACCTCATCTGCTCCCAACCCTTCCCTAGATCACCAATGCCAGCCAGGAGCTCGCTGCCGCCTCTCGCTATCCCTATGTCCGCGTCTTCGCCGCGGCTCCTTCCCGCTCTGATGTCGAGCTGGAGGACCTGGAGCACGTTGACTTGCCATGGTCCATCCCAACAGCTGGTGAGGACACCGTTCCCTCCCCAAAAAGCCTGGAAGTGGGTTTTTCCCTGCTTTTTCCCGTTGCAGCCTGATGTTTCTTGGACAGAGAACTTGGGCCACGGGAATTTCACCTACTTCTCGGCCGTCTGCTGGCTGCTGGGACGTTACCTCTATGAAGTTCTGAAGTACCCCGTGGGGCTGGTGGAGGCGGCCTGGGGGGGGACCCCCATCGAGGCCTGGTCTTCCCCAAGGGCTCTGAGGGCTTGTGGGCTCCTGGAGGACATGGGGAGGTGAGAGAAGACGCAGTAAAACAACTGCTTGCTCCACACCACGATGCTTTGGGGGAGATCCTCATCCATTCCCATCACACCTCCTCTCCTAACACATCCCCAGAGCCCTCCTGTCACACAGAATCACGCTAATTTGGGTTGGAAGAGACATTAAAGCTCATTCAGTTCCAACCCTCTGCCATGGGCAGGGGCATCTGCCACTAGAGCAGGTTGCTCCAAGCTCCATCCAACCTGGCCTTGAACACTAGAATGTGAAGCTGAAGGGACACCCACTGCCACTGAGGAGGGGGAAGTCCAAGAAGAACCATAGAATCAGAGGATGGTCTTTCCTCTCCATGCATCATTTTCCTGCCTCTGGATAAACCCTCTCCTGTGCCAAAAGTGTAGAGCACATCTCAGTGGGAAAAGAGAGAAAAGGGGGACCCCAGGGCTCCCCTTTTGCACGGTGCTTGCTTTAACCATGCAGGGTTACAGGGATTCAGGTCTGGCCTCGTGTTTTCCACCCCTTTAGCCCAGCTTTGTCTCCCAGCATCTCCCCACGCCAGCATTTCTCCGGCCCTCAAACACCCTCCGTGCTCTGGAATGCCATGATCCACCCGCTGCTCAACATGACGCTGCGGGGGATTGCTTGGTACCAGGGTGAGCCCCCATTATCCTCACCATGGGGTGGAGCAGCCCCCACTATCCCTCCAGGATCACTGCAGCTCCTCTCTGTCGGACACAGGCGAGGCCAACGCCTTCCTGCACACGGACCAGTACAACTGCACCTTCCCTACGCTCATTGCTGACTGGCGCCGGGAATTCCATGCGGGATCAGCCGGGCAGACGGAGCCGCTCCTCCCCTTCGGCTTTGTGCAGGTGAAGAGGGGGTGAGCAGGGGGTTTACCCATCCTTCAGCATCCTGGAACCGCTTCCAAGGTGCAAGGAAGGGAGAGGATGCTGTGAACGTATGAAGGAGTCCTGCCAGCGGTGCTGCATCCCAGTGGATGGTGTTGGGAGCGATGGAAGAGACACTTCCCAAGCTCCACACCCTGCTCTGCCTTCCAGTTGTCCACCTACCGCCGGCAGAGCCCCCAGGACAGCTTTGCCCGGCTCCGCTGGCACCAGACAGCCGATGTGGGGGTCATTCCCAACGCCAGGATGCCTAGAACCTTCATGGCCGTGGCGATGGATCTCTGCGATGAGCATTCACCCTACGGCAGGTGAGTCCCAGGGAGGTGAGGGTGAAGGGATAGAACCATGGAATGGTTTGTGTTGGAAGGGACCTTAAAGCTCACCCAGTTCCAACCCCCTGCCACAGGCAGGGACACCTTCCACTAGAGCAGGTTGGTCCAAGCCCCTGTGTCCAACCTGGCCTTGAACACTGCCAGGGATGGGGCAGCCACAGCTGCTCTGGGCACCCTGTG